GAGCCGGAGGAGGCTTGGGGCGGGGGCGCTGGCGGCGGGCCTCCGGCCCGGGGCGCCTCCCTGCCCCGGCAGCCGCGGAGAGGGGAGATTCGGGAGCTCTCTGCCCTCGATGCCCACCGGCCACACCTCGCCTTCTCGCCTCGGTCCCGGACTTGGCTGGAGAGGGCAGAGGAGTAAGGAGGGAACATAACGGAAAACAGGACGGGCGGGGAGGAAGCGGCAGGTCGGAATGGAGGGAGCGAGCCGGCCCGGGGTGTCCGGCCTCCCTCCGCCGGCCTCGGGGGTTCTTCCTGAGAATGGAAAAGGAGCCGAGGCGGGGGGAAAGGGAGAAAGAGCGTCGAGGAAAAGCGAAGCGGCCGTCTTCCGTCCCCTTCCCTTCCCTCCCGGCCCGCGGGAACCCTGCACAAGTGGCCGAGTTGGCCGGCTGCGCTCCGGGGCGAGGCGGGGAAGGCCGAGGGCAGGGCGGCGCCGCCTCCAGTGACCGACGGGGCCGCGGCCGGCGCAGGGCGAGCGGGGATCACACCTGTTTAGCGGGAGGCAGAGCCCTCCCTCCCTCATTCCGGGCCCGCAGTCCCGGGGCGGGAGGGCCCGGCTCCCCCGCGCCGGCCCGCTTTTCGGGAGACCGGATTCCGGGAGCCCCGTAGCTGCCCGGCGGAGCGGAGTCGCGCCGCGACGGGGCCCGGTGACCCGCGGGGCGGGGCTGGTCGGGGCACAAGGTGCTTGGACTCTGATCCAGCTTCTTCCTACGAGCCGCTGCCCCGGAGCCCTGTCCAGCTGCGGGCCCGGGCCCCTCGCACCTATCCGTTCTTCGCCAGCCGGCGCCCCCGTCCCCCAAAGTTACCGGCAGATTGTTTTTCGGGAGGAGCTGGTTGGGACCCAAAGTATTCTTTGTGCGAAAGAAAGGCAACCGAGAGCCGGTAGGAGAGGTCTGGCGAAGGAGGGGCGGCCTCGGCTCTGCGTTGGCCCGAAGTTGATGCAGGTTTCGCCTTCCCCTCTTCTTCCTCCGTTTTTTCCCTAAATGAGTTGCTTTTTCCCCGGCTCAGACTCTCACTGGCTGAATTGTGCACAGCTCGCTGAGCCCGCAGCCCCGCAGCCCCGCGCTCCAGACAGGCAGACAGGATGGGCTGTCTCGGACTCGCACCCGTTAGCCAAGTCAGATCTGGGTCGGGGTCCAAATCTGGGACCGACACCTGGCCACGTCTGATTCGCAGGCTTTGGCCCCAGCTCTGCGACCGTGCTAGCCTTATGCTTCCTTGCATGTAGTGGTAAAATTTCTGCTAGAGTGGTGTTTCCAGATACCCCGTGGGCATTTGGTGTGCGGGAATTCTCCCCTAAGGGGAGCAGTCTGTGAACTTAAAAAAAAAAAAATTCTTTTCTGAGTTCTTCCCACTACCCTGGCCCCATTTCCCATTGTTCTTTGCTTTTCAAGTTGCCTGTTAATTTTTTTAAAAGTTTACTTATGCCAAGGAAAAAATACCGTTTAATTTGTTCTATTATTTTCATCCCTGGCTTTTGGAACCGGTTCAGAGACCACAGAAATGTCACCTGTTGTAGTAAGCAGAGGAGTGTTGTGTGTGCATTGTAATTGCCAGCAGAGTCGTAGTTTGGTGGGCATTCAGAGCTCGGCTCCGGAGCGGCTTTGCAGCTTCTTTGTGGCGGTCATTTGCAAGTGGGTTTGGCTCCCAGCAGCACAGCAGCAGCAGCTTCCTTCTACACCCATAACCAGCTCCGGTCAAGAAGCCCAGATCCTGGACAGGGATGGTCAGAGGCTGGGGTGGGAAACTGCCCACTCTGAGACGTTGCCTCTGGCTTTCGGTTTTTCTGTGCGAAAGTGACTCGCTGGCTCCGGAGAGCGGGGAGCCCTGCGCATCAGCCCAGACACAGACATTTTCACGTTTCTGAACGCCAGCTTCCCGGTTTCGTTTGTCTTGGTTCTGGCATGTGGAACCACGCAATTAGTGACCTCACTAATTATTCAGTTAGTTGGCGTTTTGTAATCACGTTAAACCAGGGTCGGGTGTGTGATTTAACAAACAAACGAACTCCCCACACTCGCACAGACCGGAATCAAACCCATCACGTCAAGGATTTGAAATTTTTAAAACTCGATATTTGTTGGTCCCTCGGTCCATCCTCGCTGCCTGCCAGACAATTCATTTAGCTTCGTGGATTGATCCCTCCTCCTTGTTTAGTTAATTCAACAAAGACTTTTTGCAATCTGTTTGGAGTTTGTCTGATGCCGTGGAAAAGTAGCTGATGATTTATTTGGTTGCTTTTCGATTTCTGTCTTCAGCCCTTCTTTCTCCTCCTTTCAGCAGGGATGTCAGCTGTTATTACTTCCTATTGATCCCTTTGCAAAGTGAGAAGTGAACTAAAATTAATGTCAATTCCACTGCTCGGATCAATAGCTGGAGTTATTTTAATCTGGATTTGCACGAAGTGCTAAATTAAAAAAAATCAGCATAGAGGCAGAAAAGTAACAGTTACTTACTTTCCCTTTGCCCGGTTCTTTACAGTCACCCAAATGCTCCATCAAGCTGATTATCTTACAATCCATATTTTTTTAATTAAGAGGGTCAGTTAGTTTTCTTATTTTGGGTTCTGTGTTTAAACCCATGACATTTTGACATTGGGAGTGTATTAACTATAGATTTTCATAATGACTGTGGTCTGCTGAAGCCTCCTCTGTACAAGTTGCTAATGTGAGCAGGGGGTAAGAAAGAAAGAGGAAAAGGAAAACACTCTCCCTCCCCCCACAGAGACCAGCACCCACACAGTGGCGTAAGGGAGATGTGGCCTGAACAAATATTGTTGATTTATTTTCAGCATAATGAAGTTTCAAATGAATAACCAGGTTTGAGTGATTCACCGTGTTCTGTTGGAGTGTCCGGTGCTGTCGCCAGATTACTAATTTATGAAACTCATTTAACGTAATGAGGTGATCCAGGAAGTAAAAATAGAAAGCAAATCCTCTGGGTGATTGGCTATTTTGGGGGAGAAACATTCACCCGCTTACCCCCAGTGTATTAAGTTTGCCCTTTTCTCCAGCTTAACTCATATAATATTGCTTGTTGATGGACAAGTAGCTATATCTGTTATGAAAAGCTGGTTAGAACCCTTGGAACAGCCCTAGATCCACTTTTCAGAGCATCCATGTTGCATGGCTATTAGTCGGCCTTGAAAACAGCCAAGAGCAGGATTCCCAGACTTGTCAGGCTAACTGGCTGTCCTTGGCAGACCATTCCCTGCACTGCTATAACTTGACAGGAAAGTTATTTAAAATTTGGAAGAGAGAAAAATCCGTTAATGTGAGATACATAATCTGGTAATTTAGCAATGATGTCTATAAGGAAAGATGCCAAATGAGGAAGCAGTCTGATGGTGTGCACTCATCTTCCCAATTAATAACAGTCATTGACATGTCTACTCCAGGACGGGAGAAGGAAATACTCTCTTTGCACTGCATTAAGCCAGGAGGATTCATCTACAGTGTAACTGAGGTTTTTCTATTTGAGGGAGGACCAACGATAGATACTCCATTATCTAGGTAGTTGTTTTTTTTTTTTTTTTTTTTTTTTTTTTTAAGGAGGGGGTAAATTTTATTTGAGACCTGACTCAATTGAAAGATTATAACTTGTAGCAGATGATTATTTTTTGTTACACTTTGAGTTTCACTTCAGTTTCTATGTCGTGTATATATTTGAATAAGTCCTACTAGTCATCTGTGTTACCCAGACTTTTGATATATAATCCTTTTCCCACTTCCCACTAAAGATAAATTTTGAAATGGAATCAGTGGCTGTGGAAATGCACAACCTAAATTTAAAAGAGAAATTGAAAGAAGTCTCCTCGAACTCCAATTGGTCCCAGAGGCCTTCATTGGACATCAACTCTGAGCAGGCCAACTAGCAGAGCAAAATAAGTCGGAAATTTTGTTAACATTTTCCTTTAAATGTTAATGGCGAATCCAAAGCAGTTTACAGACCTACTTAAGAGTGAGTGCATTAGTAACTAAAATTACCGATCCGTTCTTTGCTGCCCCTGGAAGACAGACGCTGCTAGAGAACATATGCCAAAGGCACCCATTATGTTTTTAAATATTGTCAGAGACGCCAGGCATTTTATTGATGAAGGTCTTGTTCCTTCTCAGAAAAGAGAAAGCCTGTGTGATGAGAGAGGGGCACGCAGCAACAATAATGTTGCTGTTATTGGTTCACACAGCACTTCTTTTTAGAAACAGTCTTAGATGATACATGAAGATACGTGTTTATGCATGTGCCAGTGCGTGTGATTTATCCACACGTACAATTTGTACCACCGAACATGTACAGATGTTCATGGTCTGGATGTGCTTGATTTAGGGGTTTTTCATTATCAGGGCGTTGTTAGGGGAGATGAAGAGAGGACTCATATATGGGGGGCGGGGAGGGCCATAGAGGTGGATCCTGGTCTCTGTTTGAGCATCAGGCCTGCCATGAGCCGGGTATGCAGGTGGAAGCCCTTTAAAATATAGACCCCACCTAATCTACTGGGTGACTCGGTCTTCCAGAGCTCATTTGCTCAGGGAATAGCGTACATGGAGGTTTTATGATTTTTTTTCCTTTGCTGGGCTCAGGCGCATTTCACCCGGAACGTGTAGGGACCAAAGTCAGCTACGCGTACATCACAGTAAGTTGTCTATTGATTTTCCTGAATGGAAATGGTCTGACGCTGCTGCCCACCGGCTCCTAAAGCCCGTGGTGTCTCTTGCCCGAGCATCTATAAGCCAGAAGGATGGTGTTTCAATCACTTGGGGTTTCCTCTTTTTTCCTCCCCCCTAATCTCTCTCCTCCCTCTTTTTTTTTTTTTTTTTTTTTTTTTTTTTTTTTTTCTCTTTGCTGTTTCTGCAGGTCTTAGAAGGGGATGATTCCCCAGTAACATTCCCTGCCCTGATCCAAGGTGCCCCTCGGCCTCCCTCCCGGCTGCTTCTCGTGTGACGCGGGCCACAGAAAGGAACTCCGATGGACTTACACCGGGCAGCCTTCAAGATGGAGAACTCATCCTACCTCCCCAACCCGCTGGCCTCCCCGGCACTGATGGTCCTGGCGTCCACAGCCGAGGCCAGCCGCGATGCCTCCATCCCTTGTCAGCAGCCACGGCCCTTCGGGGTACCGGTCTCGGTAGACAAGGACGTGCATATTCCATTCACCAACGGTTCCTACACCTTCGCCTCGATGTACCATCGGCAGGGTGGGGTGCCTGGCACTTTTGCCAATCGAGATTTCCCCCCTTCTCTATTACACCTCCACCCCCAGTTCGCTCCCCCAAATCTAGATTGCACTCCAATCAGCATGCTGAACCACAGCGGGGTGGGGGCCTTCCGCCCCTTTGCTTCCACTGAGGACAGGGAGAGCTACCAGTCAGCCTTCACGCCAGCCAAGAGACTGAAGAACTGCCATGACACAGAGTCTCCCCACTTGCGCTTCTCAGATGCAGATGGCAAGGAATATGACTTTGGGACCCAGCTGCCATCTAGTTCCCCCGGTTCCCTCAAGGTCGATGACACTGGGAAGAAGATCTTTGCTGTCTCAGGCCTCATCTCAGACCGAGAAGCCTCATCTAGCCCAGAGGACCGGAATGACAGATGTAAGTACTTTGGTGCGAGCCTTCCCTGCCCTCGATAAGCCCTGCCGTACAGTAGTGTTCAACAGGTCGTGGCCTTCTTCCTGTTCCTACTCATGGGAAGGCCCAGTTCCTTCCCATTCCGTGGCTGTGGAGCACTAACTTTTGCTTGTCTCTGTCAGTAAGCATTGAGAGTTCTGTAGGAAATGTTTGCCTGAAGGTAGCCACAGGCAAGTTGACCTCCACAATACCTTTCTCTCCAGGGCGTGATTAGCTTATTCCCTGGGGACTCTGGAGTGAAGAGGGGTGGTGCCATGTAGGGTACCCGAGTGAATGTTATTTCATTGGAAAGTGTAGGTTCCAAGGGAATTAGTGTGTGTAGGGGGGGGGGGGGGCCTGAAGAAACTCATCCATCCCTCTTTTTGCTGTCCTCATTATGCTTCTCTGATCTCAGTATTATATTTTAGCTTCTCCATTGTATCACATGCAGTGGACTCCACGTGATTTTATTGTCACTACTCTCAGCCCTTGTCCACATCAGGCTATTTTTTTTTCAGAGCAGGACAGAGGCGTCGTCAATCACCATAAAACAGCTGCGTTTTCCTTGCAATCGCAAGGCTAGAAAGCTGACTTCTCTTGGGATTTAACAGGTTTGCTGGATGCTTATTCCGGGGCCCACTTTTAGGACTAGACGTGGTTGACCCACATGACTGCTCCATATTTGATGTTCACAATTATTATTAATTTCTGCTCAAGCTTTCTCATGTTCTCCAAGTGCCTTTTGGGGCTCTGGCTACCCTCACTAATAGTGGGAACTACACCTTGATTTGGAACTTGTAGACTCCGACCGCTGAACCCTGCAATCTTCTCATCGAATATAATAGAATATAATCAGAAAATAATTGTGTTTTAGAGCTCTGGGGCTGTAGGTAGACAGAGCAGTTCTCTTCAAGTCTGGTGAAAATTTATGAACTGAGGGTGTTTTCCCATCCAAGCCTTTGTTCTAAGCTTTGCTTCATTTTGTTTTCTTAAGAAAACTACATCTGAGGTTTGCTTTCCCCACCCGCTTCTCTATTTCTTGTGCTCCCGTCCTCTCTGTAACTACCAACACGAATACCATTTTTCCCCTCCTCTCTTTATGATGCCGAGGAGAGTAATAGAGACATTGCAGCTCTCTCCCCTGTCGGCACTGCTTCCTCAGGCTGTCTCCTTGAATTAGGCACTGTGTTAACTTTCCTGCGCGGAAAGGCATCTGCCTAAACCCGGCGTACCTTTTCAATAAAAGTCATCATAAAATCAACCTGCCTTGTAAATCCATCGCTCTTTGGTTTTGAAATATCTTGCAAGGGTGTCTTTTATGTCAGCCTCTGTAAGTCCGAGACCTCCCCACTAACAGGAGAAGGCTGCTGTGTGACAGCCCCGCTGCCCGTGTGCCCCCTCACTCCTGCTTTTAGTTCCTCCTCCACCTTTTCCCTTTCTGTGCAGCCGATGCGTGTGTTATGATCCTGCTTTTTTGGATGTACCTGCTGAACATAGGCTGGCTTTGTGTTGGTCTGTTTCATTTCATTTCAGTCTAGTTTTCATTTGTCAATGTGCAAGTGCCCAAGGCTAGCTGTCATCTGACCTCTGGCTAAAACTGCCCTGGATGAGGGGGTGACAAATTCTGCCCCCCCCCCTTTTCTGCAAATACAAGTCAAAAACGAAACCCTCTTCAAAAATAGTGTGCCACAAAGTAACATCTGCAGATCGAGATTCCTTTCTTCTCTCCTAACATATCCAGCTTGTCTCCATCCATCTTTTCAGCCCAAACCTGTATCAGACCCCCAGAGCCAGGAGGAAGCTTGTTAGTCAAGTCAGAACTCATAGATGTGGATATCCATTCCCCTCCGAGTGTCAAAGCCATAACTCTTCTGTTTGCCCGGCCTGCATTGTGCGGTGGTGCCATCCCCCATGGAGATGGATCCCTCACACAGGAATACGCCTGGGTGGAGAAAAATTAAATGAGTCTGTCTCCCAAAGTGAAATGGAATTCTGACCTTGGAATTAATGAGATTCTGATCAGAAGGGTGGGGAAACTTCTTTATTGCAAATTGTACCATTACATAAATTGGAGCCCCTTCTCCCTCTATCTGTTTAAAATATCCCTCTTTTAGAGAGTAGTTTGTGTTCTCTTTTTTTTCCTCCTACACAAATATTCAGCCTATGGGTGTCGTGTGAGTGTGGGACGTTTGTATACCCACTAGAGTTGCCTTTGGGACTGATCCTTAGCAAAAAAAGAAAGGTGCCAAGAGAAGAGGAGACTGCCAGTGATAACCCTGGATCTGTGCTCCTCTTTCTTTCCTTTCCTTGGGCAGTGTGGCAGCAGTCACAGGGTGGGACTGTGCTTTTGATTCTGAGTGTTTGGAAGGCAGGAGACAGTTTTCTGCCGGAAGGGTTGAAGAGGCCCCGTGACAAAGTCTGTAGCAGCTTCCTTGGCTCTTGTCATATGTTGATGTGTGTCAGAATATTTATGGCCTGTTTTATGTAAATACATACTTAAGGGCCGTTAGAAGGCCTGATTATTCCCACTAGATGCCTTTCAGGTCCTCTCTACAGAACCGTTTTTGAAATAAGTAATATTTCTCAGATAATCGAGTGACAGTATACAAGGCTGCTTCCAAAGGGAGAGCTGGAGGGGCAGATGGGGCAGGGAGGGGGAGGGGAAGGCAGGAGGAGAGAGAATAGAAAGTGTTCAAAGGAATAAAGTAATAGGTTAAGCGCCTTTTGCCCAGACTGCCAATATAATAAAATAGAAACTGTATATATTTTAGTTTTTATTCTTAAAATTTAGAGTTGATTTCTGATACGGTTGATTCATTTTTCAGTTCTCTTCATCTAAACAATTTTTTTTTCATAAAGTGTAAAAAATGTTTTATTAAATTCAAGTAAAACTCCTAAATAAGCATTTAGCAGGGTGGTGGTGGTGGTGTGGTGATGGTCATGGTAGTGGTGTTACCGGGTTGTGTGTGTCCCTTACATAGAGAAGTTTTATGACTGAGTTTTGGTCAATGAAAAATCAGTTTTACAATGGAAACACTGACAGTTTTTACTGTTGCAGCCGCCCCCTGCTCACACACTATGCCCATATGCAGATATGTCCACATGGGAGAGCATTTGAGAGAGGGGCCTGCAGACATGGTGTAAATGTACACACGTTCTTTCCTTCCATCCGAGCGCTGGTAGGCAGGATTTCTTTTGTGATTAAATATCCAATTTTTTTTGTAGGAAAAGTATTGGGTAAAGTATTGTGTCTCCTAGTACATGATTCCTGTTTGCTTGCCTGTTCATCTACTTGGCATCATAGGTGCTTCCCAAGGTAGGTGTTGGGCTCTATGGAGAAAAAGAAGCCTTTACTCTACAGAACTGACTTATCTGCCCTGGAAAAAGGGAGAAGTATTTTGCGAGAAGCCGGTTCGTGGAGGAAGCGTAATTCCCCAGGAAGGAGACTGAGGTAACTCCTGTTTATTGTCACTCCCTGAACCAGTCTCCCAGGGCTCCTTGTCCAGGGAAATGATGCTAAAATTTATGGACCAATTACAAATAGCCCACGTGTGTCTTACATATGAAGTGTCTACAGATATGTTTCCCAGGGCTTTTAAAATAAACATTTCCTCATTAAGGAAACTTTACAACAAAGGGAAGACACGCATTGTCTGCTGCCTTGTGCTAGGATCTATGTATTTATTACCCCCTTAGTACTCTGGCTCTTATCACGTTCATTTCCTTATTTCCTTTGGACCACCCCTGTGCCTGGATTTCTGTCTGAGTGACACCGTCTTGGACCAGCCTGACAGTCAACCCTCTCAGCTGGGCTTGTGTGCATGCTTTTGAGGATTGAGAGGGACCAGAACTGTCCGTGTGGAGCGATGACTGGCCCCACCTTCTGGCTCACCTCAGGGATGGGCACTGACGGCCTCTCCTACAGTTAGGCAGATTCGCAAGGTAGGTAGGAAACTGGTAGCTCACAGCACCTGCAGAATGTCCTAGTTTTGTTCTCTGATACTAAAAGCCCTGAGTAGAAAACGGTATTTTGTACTTTGAAATGTGCCTTATAAAGGCATGTGCCATTTAAGACCCTGTGTTCTAAGACTCCAATAGATGAGGGTACATAGGCCCCAAGCAGCCCAGACTGAGGAGGGTCAGCTCCATCCTAGGGGTGTTGTTAGGGGGGATACTTCCCAAGGGCCTGGGACGGGGTTGGACAGGGACCCTAATTTGGGCTTTTAGGAGAATTCTTCTTGCCGGAAAGAATGTTCGGGGGCAGTTCTCGGGTCACCAGGCTGACCTCCTGGATAGTAGCTGGCGCAGATGACCACTGTGAAAGGGTCAGCAAATCACCAGACCGAGATGGGTCAGATGGTACCCCCTCCGCTGGCTGCGCAGACCTAGCCAGCCTGATTGCTGCTCAGCTGCTCCCCGGGTTCTCCCGGAGTCCCTTTAAGAACTCCTGTGATGTGTGTGGTTGGTTGTTCACTTCCAACACAGTCGTGGAGACTCCTTTTCATGCTGCTGGGTTTAATTGTCTTGTCGGGATAAAGAAATGTTTGCACAGCTAAAGTGGGGCCGGGCTGGACGGGAGCGGTCCCTGATGGCTGCAGAGCAGCTGGCCTGGCTTGGCTCGGCGCTCTGCCCGCCCGCCCGCCCGCGGCTGGGCTCGCTCCCGCCCCGGCTCTCGCTCCCCGGGTCCTCGCTGCACGGCCGCGCCGCTCCGGTCGGCGGCTGCCTCCTCGCACGGCCAGAATGCCTAATCACCATGGTGAGAAAACGGACACCGCAGCCGTCCTCCCTCCTCGCCCGCGCCCGCCCTCCCTCCCGCCAATTGTCATGCAGAAGCGATCGGGCTGCCTTTTCCTCGCGGGCGGCCGCCCGCCAGCCCCTCGCGCCCCCGGCCACAGGGGGGCTGGTCATTGATCGTCTGGGGGAGGGGGGCACGGAGAGACAGGACGCCGGGCCGGGGGAGTGAGGACCACCGAGGGGGCCCCCTC